CTCACTATTGCCTGATCCGGGATCCCTGATATTAAGTCACACCTGGTTTCTTTTATTTATTTAGTATTATTATTATTTTTATTTATTTATTTTTTTTTTCACTGACTCCAATCTTGCATGTCTATATATCTTCTATTGGTTGGTCTAGTTTTGCATGCAGCACCATGATGTCATGATGCTACTCTGTACGTTGCTGCAAAGAGGCATGTTGCACCATCTTGCATGAGATGAGCCTGTGTGTTTTTGAAGGCAGTTTTTTTTTTATCATCTGTATTAATATTATTTATTTATTTTTATTTATTTATACCTATTATTATTATTATTTCTACATTCTGAAGCATGTGACAAGTGTCCGGTACTAGTTGATGACACTTTCCTGCCTGGAGTGCTCTGGCTTGTGGCTGGGCCCAAGCTTTCTCCTGTTGCCGCCAACTAATGACTGAGATCAGGCTGGGCAGTGCATTAGCACTCGAAGCCTTCAAATTCACATCATCATCATCATCATCAAAGTGTTGCCCAGATTAGGCGGCACTCGCTAGTGTTGCCACCTAAACCGAAGTGTTGACAGTTTCGTGTCAAAATTTGAGTGTACTCGACTTGGGCAAAACTGAATTTGGGTGCACTCGTCTTAGATAAAATTGAAGGACCAAATTATCATAAAAAAAAATGAGAGTTACATTTTTCATAAAAAAGGCCTAAAACGGCCAAAAAGGGCCCATCTGGCAACATTGCGCAGTGTACCGAAAACACTATACTCGACACTCGTGTATAGGCTCTCAGCCTGCAAAACTGTAGTAGACGCAACCAATATACGTAACTACTAGCCCCGTGTATAAGCACCTTAAGCCTCAAAATGCACTCACTAATAACATCAAATTAGGCTAAAACCATTGTTAACAGCACTAAAGCAAAGAAGTTTAAATGCTAGATACTTTAAAAAGTTCGCAGACAGGTGTTGTGGCCACAGCTGGCACCATATCTGAAGTTCTGAACTGCCGCGGGCCTAGAGTTGCTCACTTCATACGAACGCACGCATTGTAAAAATTTTAGAAAACGTAGTGAATCATCACAAAAAATGACCGTGATCTTGAATAGAGAAAACGGCATAGAGAGTTAGCTTGAGGAAGAAAATTCCGCCATCCTAATGTTCGTGTAAGACGGTTAATTTTTCGTGCGTGTCATAACACATTCAGTTCGTTTAGGACTTTAGGTTAACTCAATTCAATTGACGTTTTCTGTCACGGAACCAACAACTTGTTTTTATTTTTCAATTTCTTCGTACTAGAAAAAATTTGCCATATCAAAATTTTGGATGTCGTTCTAATTCATTCTAAATGATTATAGAGAGTATTGTGATTTCATATCTTATGCCAGATGATTATGGCAAATGAGATAGAGGAGGATGACCATAGTCTCTGTGTCTACTCTGTATGAAGCAGGAGAAATAGGGGTGTTGTGACTCGTGTTCATTCATTGAGTGTCATCATTAATTTTATTAAACCTTTTAAACTCGTTGATCATCAATCTTGGTAATCATATGTAACGTAATTACCTTGAACTCTCCTACTTATTTCTGATTTCATCACTTTCACTATTAAATAAATATTAAAATATTCAGTCAGTAAATTTTGTCGATTCTCAAGCACGAATAATCGTGTAATTTCTGAATAATAAAAATGTAAGAATATGTCGACAATACTTCTATGTTTGAATCGTGCCATCAAATATTGTAAATTTTCTTTAGAATGTCCTGTGGATAACATTAGGCAATCGCGCCATTTTCTGTCTGCCGCCGTGGAGTTAACATCTGCTGGGGTAAACTGTTGAATTTTTCGCTGGAATTCAATTATTATGATGTAATATACTATTTCAGTGTAACTGAATTACTAATTGTGTTCTCTGTATTCTTTTGATATTGTTACTCCATTGTGTTCATGACTTCATGTCAATGATGTCATGTTTATTCAAACGACCATCAACTCTTGAAGGTGTTGGTCGGCGTCATTATCCTTCAACCATCTATAAATAACTGAAACTTAAGATCCTTCACTCCAGCCTACGTAATATTTACATCAATTAATTAGGGAAGAGGGACGGCCGTTGTAAAATCTAACTCAAAATCCTAACACCATTAGAAAAAACCGCCTCCCCCCTCATGGTAAATGTTGATTGCTATCATTACAGCTTACAGGGCAAACGGCAATTTACATATCACCTATATTAACACAATTCCACCTTCAGAGGCGCGTACTGTAAGGCTGAATCATAAGTAGGGTGGTCCTCAAAAAACTTTTTTCCTTGAAAATGAGTTCCTACCTTAAAAACGGGTTCCTCTAGATGCCTAAATAATATTCCTAAAATATTTTTCAAATCGGTTAATATTTAGAGGTTGCTCAATGGCATCAAAGTTTCACCCCTATGGCTCAGGGTCATTGGGTCTGTAGAGTGAACAAAGAAACGGGTCTGAACATGCTCAAACCGTAATTCTTTATCCAGTCCCACCCTGTATGACTTGATTCCATTTCTGGGTTCGTTGTGCAGTGTGTATTTCGGACAGTCAGTCAGTCGTGTTCATCCACTGATTGTTGAAGGTTGACAGTTGCAATGGCAACTGTCACACGTGCGAAGAAGGGATATTCGGTGTCTCCTTCTCTCGCATTGACGCGAGCAAAGCTTCCTTCGTGCTAGGTAGGGCTGGCTGTTGTCCACTTCCATCATAGCAACGGTGCTACTTAGGATGACACCTTCATGGAGGTCATCTATGAAGTCCTCCAATTCCGGAAGCGGGCAAGGATTCCTACAATGCGTCCTGATAACTTTTTAACGAAGCTGGAAAAAATCGAGAAAGAATACCAGCTAGTCAAGAATAATCGTCAGAAGGGAATCCATGGCCCAGACCGTGAAGGAGTCCGTCTTCATGGAGGAACCAGAGAGGGTCTTCGACGTGCGCCCTCAATACTGAAGATTGAGGAAGCCCAGGCCTTCCTTGTCGTGCATCGGCAGCCTGGTCGCCCGGGGTACATGGGAGGGATCAATGCCGAACTTGCCCGTAAGGAAGAGCGGAACTGAAATCAGTGGCAAGTGAAGGAGGAGCGCTGTCATTGGGCACAGCAGCCGTCAATGTCGGCTTCTACTGCCATATGGACCCAGGCGACTCGTCCTCCACATCATCCAGCGCGAGAGCGGAGGAGGAGGAATTCCATGTGCAACAAAAACAGGGAGCTGTGGGGATAAGCCACAGCTCCCGCAAGCGCAAGTCCACCGAAGAGGCCGAAGAATGTGATTACTCCAGGCTTGGCAGCTTCCCTTGACCGAACCAAGGTGAGCGAAAGAGGATCTGCTTTCCTCCTAACCAAAGCAGCTCGAAACTTTGGCCCCAAGCCAGAAGAGGTTAACATCAACTGCTCCATTTGCCGATATCGGCAGAAACACCAAGACAAGTAGGCCTCACAGCTCAAGGCGGACTTAAAGATGAGCAAGACGGTGGTGGTGCATTGGGAAGAAAAGCTAATGCAGGACCTCACGAATAAGAAGCACGTGAACCGTCTACCTGCGCAAAGCGGAAAGGAGCTGTACAATTCATCGGCGTTCCCAGGCTCGCCAACGCTACGGGGAAGGCACAGAGCAATGCTGTCGTCACGCTTCTACGGGAGTTGTGGATTGAGGATCGTGTGGTAGCGCAGTGTTTTGATAGGACGGCATCAAACACCGGGCACATCCATGAACTTAGTATTCAGAGAGAGTTTTGAAATTTCGACACATTAAAAACTCTCCATAAAGAAATCAGAGTGTGATGTAGGAGCATGGAAAAACTATATACGAATTTTGGACCCCGATGTTGAGGACAACCCTAATGTTTAGACCCGTTCCTTTCTACCGCATTTTCTCATTTATGAAAAAAGGAGCTATTGTGATCGTCATGTCTGTCCGTCCATCCATCTATCTGTCCGTGACTTCACAGACGGACGAGAAAATGCGCTCTCTATCACTCACTGCAGTGAGTAATGATCTAATTTTTCACTCTAGGGACCCAATGACCTTGAGCCATAGGGGTGAAACTTTGACGCCATTGAGCGACCTCTAAATATTAAGCGATTTGAAAAATATTTTAGGAATATTATTTAGGCCTCTGGAGGAACCCGTTTTTGAGGTAGGAACTCATTTTCAAGAAAAAAAGTTTTTTGAGGACCACCCTAATCATAAGGGGTGTCATGGAATACTAAAGACTAGGAGTAATACACTCAGGAAGGCTTGCAACATTAAAGAACTTTGCTTCTTAGTAAATTTATAATGGAAACCGTGGTGATTTCGAATAGAACTCTTATAGATAGAGGCGGTCTGCGAAACGCCGACTCACTTCTACAACTACGGTATCATTAGTCTGCTCATGAGTCTGCCTGCTTACAGCCCAAGTTCACCAAGAATTGAAAAGCTATTAAAACGCCAAGGATATTCACAATGTCTTCAGCGAAAACGTTTCCAAGACCAGTTCTATAATCATTTCCAAATTCCAATGAATACAAGAACAGCCAATGAATAAAAGCCAAATTTGGACGAAAGCGATTACAACCTAATTACCGAGAAAACGAACCAAGACCCGTCGGTAAACAACAGCAAGTCTGGCCGTAAATTTATTCGAGACGTGCACTTGATTCCCGGAATCACATTATTGAGACCTGAAGTAAATTATCTACTATAATTATTGATAGAAATGTTTGCCACAGCATGAAATATAAATAACATTGACATTTTTAATGTCAAAAAATTAGTTGATTGTGCGCCAAATCGTCGTACAATTTGTATAAATTGCATCGTCATACAATTTGTATCAATTGTATCGTCATACAATTTGTTTTCTATAAAACTGACCCAATTCATGAAAAATATTTTTAAAAATCAATTTATATTCAGGTGATAACAGATTATTGGTACAGGACGACTGTGAGAAGTACTGGGCCGAATTTTACTATACTATAAAACAACAAAATTCATCACAACAAATTCAAGTATCGTCACTATTTTATAAACTCATCTCCTATGACAAAAATAGAAGTCCGTATAATTTTTAATGTGTTCCTATTTTGGACAGTTTTGCTGTGTCTCGTCTGTTTCTATTAAAATCTTACCTCCCTAGCAGAGCGTGGTAGTTACACTTCCTGATTTGAACTCGTTCGTTTGTATCTCTAGCGTCCGTCAAGCTAGAGAGGCTGAGAGAGCACCAATTCCAAACCATTCACTGACAATCACTGTTTACCCAACGTTACCGGTTACCACGCATCTGCAGCTTAGTCGGGTCACCTCACTCGGGTGCGTCATACCGGTCATGGTAATAATAACCAGCTGTCAAGACTCAAATGAGCACTAAATTCGTGCCCTGTTATTGAACAATTCAAGTGAGTATTATTAAGAAAAACCATTGTTTGTCCTCTGGCCTGGCTCTAAGACAGTAAGACTCACACTCAGGAGTCAGGAGTAAGTCTACTGTCTATCTAATAACTTATTATTAAACTTAAGGCTCTAATGTCCAAGCATTGAGCAAACCAAGTACGCAAGTAACCTACATTACCTACTTACCTAGTATAGTAACTATGTATCTGACATAGTGTCAAAGCAGACTTTTTTAGAACCTTAAAGTTCAATTTTGAGTGGCTATAATAAGTAGTAAAGTAGACCAGCTCCAGCCTCCAGCAAAGTATCATCACTATCATGGCCCACATCCATTGGATACCAAATTACCAATACCATTGGCAATTTGGCATCATATAGTCATACCAGCATTATCATATATAAAATATTGATTTTAATCTTGAGTAAATTTGGAAATTAAAAACAAACTAATTTTTTTTTTTTTAATATCTTGTTTACCATTGCCAGTTGCCACTATGTATGCTTTGGATGCTGGAGGCTTCAGGCTTGGAGCTCCAATTTTTTTTTATATTTGGAAACATTCAACCCAATTATGATTTATGAATGGAATGCAATTCTCTCACAACTCCTGAAATGGAGCTCCCAAAAATCTTACAGAGCTCCAATGGGGAATTTTCCTTGTAGATGTAGGATTAAAAAGATTCCTTTAACTTAAAAAATGCTTTGCATGTTGCGAGTTGGACAGTTGCAGTGATGGCTAAACAAGGAATTTTACAGAAGCCACCCATTAATTAGAACTAACAAGTTGAAAACAAAAAACTACAATTTGCAATTTATGCAAGCAATTTCACTCATTCCTATTTCCTACTATGCTAGGGTTGCATGGTATTTATACAAGTTATACTGTATATGAAGCAGATTGTTGTGGAGTCATTGAGAATGAGAAGGTTAGTCGTTAGTGCTAGGTCTTCAGTGTTCAGTCTTGTCTCAAGTGTGAGTTATTCTTGGTGAAATTTATCTGTCAGTAATTGTTTGCAAATTGGACTAACTACACCTTGGGCACCTTCATTTAATAAATGGACAACCAGGCATGCTTGTCCATTGTGCAAGGAGTTATGATTTGTGTCGTTAATGGTTATGTGTATGGAGGTGGAGTGGAAAAAATTTTGCTCAAATGAAAAGCTTGGGGTCATGTCTTGATGATGGTCGGTGGATCATGTTAATTGCGCCTGTTGTAGAGGACTGTGTTTATGGTAGATATGTTGCACTGTTTGTGTTGCATTAGTGAAGATATAAAGTCAAACCAGTGTATGTTAGTGTTGAATCTTAGTGCTTTGTTTTTATCATCCAATTACCAATTGTCAAATTGATTTTTCATACCATGAATCACGGACATCACAGTGCAAGATCTTGCCATAATTTCCATATCATGAATCACGGCCATCACAGTGCAAGATCTTGCCATAATTTCCATATCATGAATCACGGCCATCACAGTGCAAGATCTTGCCATAATTTCCATATCATGAATCACGGCCATCACAGTGCAAGATCTTGCCATAATTTCCATATCATGAATCACGGCCATCACAGTGCAAGATCTTGCCATAATTTCCATATCATGAATCACGGCCATCACAGTGCAAGATCTTGCCATAATTTCCATATCATGAATCATGG